GCCTCTAAAAAAACAGCAACATAAAAATCTTTGGGAGCCCAAAACCCATCATCTTCTCTTGATACATAAGTATAGAAATATGGAAGATGAATACACAAAATCCAAGTGCCTTATGGCCTACATTTTTTTCTAGAGAAAAGTGCAATAAATAAAATATATTACAATAAATGGAAGAAAAAATTTTAGGGCAAAAAGCAATTATGTATAAACATCTACTTTAAATCATGTCAAAACAAATAACTTAACACTACCCATACTAAAAATGCGTATTACACTAAGATTTTAAATATTAAGCCTATTCAAGGATCTCAATAACCATTGACTATGATATCATTTGTTGGTTATTGGATTTTATCAACATAAGAAAATTATTTTTCCTTTGATGATTAAACCCAAATGAATAATAAATCTTAGATCACCTTGAGGCAATTGGATTTTACTTTTAAATCCTCTCACACAAGGGAAGATAGTAACCTTGAATGAGCTTTAAATGTCCTTCCAACCTTCTAGTCAAGGCTTCCGTCCTTAGATCTTCTGCCTTATTCTCCACCTTTATCCACCTTTAGGTGCCTCCTCCCTTTTTGAGAACATGAGAAAATGTGACCAACAATAATCTTTTGACATTGTGCCGATAAAGAGCATATTTATAATGCACAATTTCCCTTGAACTTTATTGTAGGAGGCGAATTAAATCTCACACCTATATTAGAGCCAAAAGAGGGACCTAACCGGTCTCACAAGGCCCAAGCTCTAATAGATATTTGTAATTGGGTCAACTCTTGACCAATTAAACATATCTATTAATCCCAACTTATTCTACTAAAAAGTCGAAATTGCACTCTCGAGTTGAGTGATAGTTATGGAAGCAAATTATGATCCGATAGCAATATCATCCGATCATCATTCCACACCGTTTGACTATCAATATGCTGAAACTGAAAAATGACTATTTTAGTCTTTCACCATGCATTGCCCTCCAAGTCCCATTTACATAAAGCAAATCCATTGTGAACTAATCATAACATAGAGTCCAACGATCCCATCATCGGACTATTGAGTTCAAGTTCAAATGCTTATAGAGAATGACGATCGTCTCATCATAATGATTAATGAATTTTATTATTGCAAATCTATGATCTCTAATTGTTTTGCTCCGATTTTCAAAGCATCGACATCAATCTTCTAATTAAGACTTCACTCATTGGTACCTTAAAGAACTTGAACTAGGAATCAAATGTACATTACTCACTCACAATTTAGGTGACTAGTTCGATGACCAAGTAGAGTCTCATTCTTAGCGATCACAAATGAGTCATATACATGATCCCATTCAATGTGCAACAAACACATCATTATTCTTATTCTCAAGATCTAGACAAATTTTAATAAGAACAATTCAATCTTATCTACATAAAGCATATAATTTTATGTACCGATTGAGAACGATATATTTTGATCACGTCACACAATGTGTTTCACTATACTTGAACCATCAAATATATAATTTGTGACATCCTATATGATCATGGAACTTTATATTATTATTAAAAATTAAAACATGCAAATAATCGAATATTAATTCATAATGTCGTTCACAAAATATTGTTCAAAGGGCACCAAACTAACATAAAAATCACACACAAAGATGAGTAAAAGTCCATTTGCAATTACCACATAAAAATTTATTGTGTTGAAATATATTCTATTGATCATTATCGTAACTTTTATATAATTTTGATAATAGACTTATTATATATCTTATGCTAGTCACAGCGATTGAACACATGTTTTCGAAATAGATTAGCATTTTCATGTTGGTTGAGTATACTATTCATGAACATCTTGCACGTACATGCACTAAATATGTCTACAGTTGAGCATCTTATACAGGGGCGGACGCAGACTTTTTATGTTAGGGGGGCACAATCAAACTTTCAAAAAGTGACCAAAAAATTTAAAGAGATATTTTATTACAATTGTTCTCTACATGTTCCTATATTTTGATATCGTTCCATAATTACATCATTTTCATTCTCAATCGGACATCGAAACTTTTTATGTTGGGGGGCACAATCAAACTTTCAAAAAGTGACGAAAAAATTAAAGTAAGAGATATTTTATTACAATTGCTCTCTACGTGTTCTCATATTTTGATAACGTTCCATAATTATATCATTTTCAATCTTGTCAAATACATATTTCTTAATATATGCAATCAAACTATCATTCAACCATTGATATCCAATTCGATTGTGCAGACGATTTTTGACGCAAGTCATCGCAGAAAATATTGTTGGCATCATTGGAGGTTTATCTACTATCTCTACACTTACTTTCTTGGAGAAGATGGTCTTTTTCAGTTTAAAGAATAAACAAAGAAGGTTTTCCTTTCGTCATCTGTAGTGATCCCGCAATACTAAAACGAGAACTCTCAGTTCATCATATGGTCTACGGAAAACATGTCCCAAAAGAGGTAAATCATGGACTAATAATTGAGAATTTGAGGGGGAAAACTGAATTTCTTGAGAAGTCCGGATCGAGGTGCATTGTTATGTCATGCTGATTGCCTTGTCTCTCATTTGTGGCATGAAGAAGTCTTTAAGGGATGTTCTGTAATTTCCCTGAATATGTTTGAGTGTGTTGCAAGGGAGCTTAAAGAAGCAAAAATGAAGCCACTTGAAGCAGGAAGTAGTATTAGAATTGGGGTGCTAGCTTCAGATTTGGTGGCTGGTTTTTATCAGAAGAAATTACAGATTCAGGTATATGAGTCTTTTACTGCAATACAGATTTCTCTCTTTAGGCTTGTTGAAACTTTGAATGTTGATTCCTTTTTCTTTCATATTTATTAAAAAAAAACTTCAAAATTTAGGGGGGGCAAGTCCCGCCCATGATCTTATATGCACTACATGATTAGATAAATGAATTTACAATATAAAAATCTTTTCCTGACCACTATCAGGGCACGGATGCATGGGAAACATGTTTATATGATATTTGTTGTCATAACGAGTGGAAAACTCCTCGGGTTCACAAAGGAAGACATGAGATGTACCTTTGAGGGTTATAGGAGGATGATCCACTAGATTGTTCTTTGCAATATTCTAAGTATTGACATCGCGGTCGGAATACTTCTTGGGTATTCATAGGGGAAAGTTAGGAGATGTACTCTTGTGATCACAAAAGAATGATCCACTCGACTGTGTCGATATGATATTGGTCATTTGATTATTGATATTTGTTATATTGTTCAGAGCTCTATCTAGTGTATAGTTAGTAGTTGAAGGGCCTAATGAAAATAAAAGATTATAAATGAAATTCTCTCGAGTTTATCTTGATAAAGTTTGAAGATGATGCATTTCTAGCATGATATTTTGAAAGGAAAAGGCACTTTCATTGCATGCATGCTTTTTTACTTATTCGCACTAGATCATGTAGTTTTAGCATTTTAGGTCAATCTGGGAATCTTGGAGCTCCATATTTGACATGGCTTGCAGTTGAAGCTCCTACAGGATCCTAAGAGTAGATGTACATGGACGAAGAGAATGAAATTTGATGGGGGTGGAGGTAGTTTACGGTTGAAGCTCCTACATGATCCTAAGAGTAGATGTACATGAACGAAGAGAATGAAATTTGATGGGGGTGGAGGTAGTTTACGGTGGGTATATAGATTAATTTAATTTTAAAATATTATTATTAACATGAAAATGTTGAATTAACATCTGATTTTTTGTAAAACAAACTTTAAATCTGATTTTTGAAATGTTAACTTAAAAAAATCTAGTTATACTTAATTTCCACTAATATTGAAATTGAATTTGGGCTGTTTAGGTTGGTTTGTCAAAGTGGAGGCAATAAATCAGCCCGCCCGTTGTATCAATTTCCGTCATTCTCTTTCCTGGGACTCTCATCAAATAATAGGAAGACTGTATGCTTTAATTTCTGGTTTGTGCGAAAATGGTTTTCAGCAACGAATTATCGGAAGTCCCTCAGCATGATTAAGTATTAGGGGGGTCATGTAGGTCCCGACCTACATACCTGGGGAAGTATGCTCGCCCCATGCATGAACCAGAGCATGAGACTCCAGATGATCACTAGACTTATTGTTTCCTTGCCAACCATACTGGCCTTCGGGATAGCCAAGCACTCACCGGTCTCAAGCAGACTTGTCCTTATCTTGAGAAGACTAATCCTTGTGCAACTAGGATACTAACTTGAAGGTAGGCTCCTACCAGACACGGTCTCTCAGGCCTGTGGGTCGGTCTACGGCCCATCACCGTCATAATCCAACTGGGCCACAACAAAACCACTATATATGTACATTCGCCTCATTATTCAGGTTACACTCTCTATTGCATTACATTCAATTTCAGATATTGAGAGTAGGGTTTGTGATCAACCTCGGTTTGGATCTACACCTCGGTAATCTAGCCGATCTCAGGTCATCCCAAGCACATTTTGTCGTAGCATCAAAAGCCATTTCCCAACATGGTGTAGTTATATAATTAGATTTCAATTGATATAAAGATGGATCGAACCAAGCAACCAAAAATATTTATACAGTCGACCTCAAATTATTAGGAGCAAGCCTTGATTTTCTGTTGTGGTATATGAACATCTAAAATCCGCAAGAAAACTTCCATTAGAACTTATCTAATGGTCTACGTGAAAGTGTCAGCAAGTTCTAAAGTCAATAAAACATATATAAAAAGCTGTTTACATTCGAAGTTTCATTAAAAATCTCTCTTAAAAGGCACTAACATTCAGATCATAAACAAATGGAATACAGAAATCAACACCATTCTACATAAAGAGAGTTTCAATACAATGCTCCCCTGGAAAAAAAATCAAATAAAAAAGGGAAAAACAAACTGTCAGGAGTAAATGAAAATGAAAAAGCTTTAAGTCAATTACTTATACAACCTCGGATTTCTTGTTGTTAAGATTTTCATTTGTCCTTCGAGTTCAGAAATACACTTTGGTTGAACAAGAAGAATTAGTACTTAATATTCTTGAACCTGCAGGCAAAAAAAAAAGAGGAAAACAAAATCAGAATACGACCATATTCGGTTGATTTCGAGCCTAGTTATAGATATATTGTCTTCGATAATTCTGTTTTACTCACCTCAATTCCAACGAGGGATCTGCAGTTATTGGTGTTAGTAAGCACAGTGCTAGTTGATCCACACTCACTGTCCTTGAGAGACACTGCTGATCTATCAAGCTTGACTGACCAAGGATAATGATAATTCTGAGCAGTCGAACCAACATGAGATGTTGATCTTTGCATTCGGACCGCCCGAGGGACGTTCCTTCCTTCAAGAGATGGTCTGCGCCTGTTGTAGGAACATAGACAAATGCTGAATGATGTGTCATTCTCTCTTAATGAGAGAATACATTTATTGAGGATTTAGATTCATCTATTTAGGATACTAAACTGACATCAATAGTAATCAGATTTATCTCTAATACCTGCTTGGTTGCCTCTCGAAGGATTCAACAGGGCGTTGCTTGGGCGCACTATGCGAACGCACTTTAGCCCTTGATGACTCTGTATTGGCCATATAGCTCGGGTAAAATGGATATTCATTGTAAAGGGATTCTGCGTATTCTGATCGAGGATGAGGAGACGGATTTCTTGATGGATCAGGTTTGGAGAGGGCCGAGTAACACTGAGGGCTACTCTGTGCTGTATTGAATGAGTATTCGTCGAAATGGCCACTACATGCTTTTGGATTCATATCCGTTATGTTTGAGGGTGCTGGTGAGATCTTTTGATGGTCGGGTTTTGTGTATGCGCTGTTGTGCATAGAAATTCTGTTCTCGTTTTTCTCGATTTGTCCATAGTTTGAATAGCTGTTTCCGCCCTTTGTGCTTGGCCTCGAGTCTCCAAGATCCATTTCCACTATCTTGATGTTCTCTTCAAAATCCTACATCACATCAATTAAGTAAGCCAATTCTTTTAACAATGTCAGCAGATAGAATTTGACCAAAGAAGTCAAAATCGAAAATTCTCTACAATTTACATGATCAGATCTATAACTATATCGAAGAACAGGACAACAGGTAATTGTTGGAGGGATTCATACTTGATTTGAGGGCCTAAATCTATTCTCTTGTGTTGATTTTCTATGTTTGAATTGCATTTGATTGTTGAATTGTGTCGTTTCTTCAGCCATTCGGATTCTTTGGGCTCGAGCTCTTTCTTGGACAGTCACCAATGCCTGCATACACCTAAGTGTAGCAGTGGCCTGTTTTCTTACCAAATGCCCTCTAACCAACGCCTGCAACTTCACTAAGCCTTTCAGCGCATCCAAAGCTTTTCTTGCCTGGAAAAGAGATTACGGATTATGCTCTATTCCTTCTTGTGAGAGCAATAATAAATAGAATTAATCGAAAATCAATCAAAGTACACACACTTATTTATTGTGGTTCCCTGGTGTTGTGAAAGTTACATTCATTTGACGCTGCAGGTTCTCAAAAAAAGAGTTAGGATTTCTCACGCTTTAAACCGTGAAAACCGGGTTCCCATAATTTTTCATGTAGTTCAAAAATCAGAGCAATCTAATATGTGTATGGTATAGTAGGTCAATACACATTTGGGGAAAAAGTGTACGGTATGATTAGTAGGTCAATCCGCAGTCGAGTGGAAAAGTATAGACTAAGATTAGACTCCACACAGTCGACCAACGATTGAGGAGAAAAGTACTGAGTTTTATTAGGCTTTGTAGATTCCAACAAAAAATCACTTATGGATCAGTTCCTACGCCAAAAAAATTTGAAAAATTCTGTGGTGTTCAATATCGAGTAAATTGAGTAGAATCTAGAATTCAAGAATTACATACCAAGTACCCACGAAAAACAGACTGAATCTTGATTGCAGCTGCCTCTTCAACAGCAGAGGCTCTCCCAGAGGCAGCAGTCGTCAGCTGGATCATTGCGGCTGCCGCCTTGGCTGCTGCCACGGCGGCATCCGCAGCTGCTGCGGTGGCCATGGCCACAGCCAACGCATGCCTTTTGGGATCACTATCCAATTCCATTGCCGCTGCTTGTGCACATGGTGTGGCAGTAATACTGTCTCCAGAATTCGATTCCTGCTGCCGCAGCACAGCAGCGGCCGATGATCTGCGAAAACTCCACCGTCTCTTCTCTTTCGGGGTCGTCGGCAGGATCGATTTAGGAGTTGTTGGAGGCTGCTGATTGCCATTTCCAGCAGAAATGTGCAGATTATTTGCATTATTCTTCTCTTTCTCCTTATCTTTCTTTCCTGTCAAGAAATTCCTTATCCACTTGCTCGTCTTCCCCATTTCCTTTCACTGTTTCCTATACGTTCATGTAAGATTAGATCAGAAAAAAAGGGATCGGAACAAGAAAGAAAGCAACAAATGAGAAGGGACTTTCTTCAGTTTCTCTCCTGTTCTGTCTTTATCTAATTATCTTCTGCTTATGATCAGTAGTAGCTTTCGAAATAATTAAGGTCTTTATCGTTGGATCAGATCATTTTTCCTGTTTTATTAATTGTATGTTCTTTGCACTGACATAGTTGCATAAGTGGAGTGATAGAGAGGAAAGAGAGGAAATTCCCACTGAAACTCTTCTAATAACACTAGTGTTGATTCTTAACCTGTTGGAGGAGGCCAGCACTAGCAGCATATGTTTGGCTAATCTTTGAAGGATAATGAAGCTTTTATGAATACTTAATCCCATTTTGACCATCATTCCTTCTATAATATGATGAATGTTAGTTGGTAGTTTATCATTTCATTTCAAGTCAAGTTGCATTAGTTTATAATTATCCTTGTACTAGTTGATGAGATAGAACACTATGCAAGAAGTATGGTTTGTAATCTATATCATTGACTTCATTTTGCTCAATCGATGACACATGGTTCCTCCAAGTTCTCTCTTCTTCTTTGCTCCAACACTAAAACCCCATAATCGAATGGTATAGTTGTGCGGAAGAATAGGTCCCTATAGTATGGTTGAGGTTCTGCTGAACAGTAAGAAACTCGTTGTCAAACTAGAGGCTGAGGCAGTTAATACTGCTTATTAAATTTTGAACTGTGAATAATTGAAAACTGGCACCACACAAACACTATATGAAACCTGGAAGGGTATAGTGCTATGTGTTAAATGATAGGGACCATTTGGGAAAACTTGATCATGTGAGTGATAAATGAGCATTCATTGGGTATTCAGAAAATAGTTGGGCCTATAGAGTGTATAACATGAGGACTCAAATTATTGTTGAATGTATAAATGTTAAAATTGATGATACTCTTTTTATTCGCAAGACCCTGAGATTTGGAACTTGGATGAATGAATACTCTCGAGAACAATGCTGTAGATTCTGTAAATGACAATCGCAGAACCTCTAGTACCCGGGTTTGGTGATTATAAGTTGACCGCTAAAGGTGGAGACACACTGGAAAAAGACAGCGAACTAGAGAGAAGAAGGCAACCTCTTAGTTGGATTCAGAAAGCACACCCTCTACATAATATACTTTCTAATCGTAGTGATGGAATGGTGACTAAAAGAAGACTTGTTATCGAACTNGGGACAAGTAGAGATCGAGATTCACATCCTCGATGTGGTGTTTGTGGCAAAACAAATCACCTGGAAAAGTTTTGTTGGAAAGCACATAAGTGTAAAGTATGCAATAAGGTTAGATATCCTGAAAGGTTCGTCCAGTTAATCGCTAAAATCACACTCCAACTCATTATCAACACAGACACCAGAATCAGCAAGCTACTCTGGCTTCTGAGAAGAAGGCTGAAGATCATTTATTCTTGGCGTTTCACATGACAAATGAAAAGGAGGAAGACTCTTGGTTCATTGACAGTGCTTGCACCAATCATATGACTAGCAAAGAGGAGATTTTCCGCAGCTTAAACTCAAATTGTAAAGCAGAAATCAAGATGGGAAATGGTGAAGTAGTATCTGCCAAAGGAATTGGAACCATTGCAGTTCAAACAAAGAAGGGAAAGAGGTACATTGACAATGTTTTGCTTATACTTGGTTTAAGTTCTAATCTGCTAAGTGTTGGTCAAATGGTTCAAAATGGATATTCATTATTTTTTAAAGACCATTTATGCATGATAAATGGTACAAATAATGCTGAAATTGCTTGTATGCCAATGAAAAATAAGAGTTTCAGTATTTATTGGCAAAATGTGATTGCAAATGCTGCTGAAGTTAACTTTGATGAATCAGATTTGTGGCATAAAAGATATGGTCATTATAACTTTAAGACCTTAGCTAATCTTCATACTCAAGGCTTGGTAAGGGACTTTCCTGCAATTCAAGAGCCAGGAGGAGTTTGTGAGGCCTGCGGTTATGGAAAGATGCATAGGAAAGCATTTCCAACAGATGGAGTTTGGAGAGCAACTCAAATTGCAGCTGGTACATTCTGATATTTGTGGTCCTATGAGAACACCATCTTTGAGTGAAAATCGATATTTTGCACTCTTTATTGATGATTGTACTAGAATGTACAGGGTATACTTCATGAAAAACAAGTCTGATGTGTTCCAAATCTTCAGAAAATTCAAGGCATTTGTTGAGAGTCAATCAGGCTGCAAGATTCAGGTCCTAAGGTCTAATAATGACAAGGAGTATACCTCCAAGATGTTTGATTAATTTTGTGAGGAAAATGGTGTCCATCACCAGCTCACAATGCCCTATACGCCACAGTAAAATGGTGTGGCAGAGAGGAAAAATAGATCAGTGATGGAAATGGCGAGGAGTATGATGGCTGAGAAGGATTTACTAAAGAAATTCTGGGATAAAGCTGTGCATACATCAGTGTATTTACAGTAAATTATTAACTAAAGCTGTGAAAGGCAAGACTCCAATTGAGGCATGTAATGGTGTGAAACCAACAGCAAAACACCTGTAAGTATTTGGATCTTTATGCTACATCATGTTCTAGAGCAGAGAAGGAGCAAACTGCATAACAAGGCAGTGAAATGAATTTTTCTAGGCTATAGTTCTCAGGCAAAAGGCTATAGAGTGTATAATCTGGAAACTGAAAAGATTATAGTGTCAAGAGACATCAAAGTTGATGAAAATAACAAGTGGAATTGGGATGAAACTGAATCACCGCCATAGCAACCATCAGTTCTTCTACCTATGGAGCAGCAGAATATTCTTGTGATTCAACCAGAGGTTCAGCCACAACCAACAGAGTCTGGTGCTTCAAATGATGGTCCATCTGAGGCGACATCTAGTTCTGGTCCACCTCCTAGAGGAAGTAGATCATTGAATGAATTTTATGAAAGATGCAGCTATTGTTGAGCCAAACAACTATGAAGAGGATGCTAAGCAACATAAATGGATTAAGGCCATGGAAGAAGAGATGGGAATGATTCACAAAAATGAGACATGGATGCTGGTGCCAAGACCAACTGACAAGAGAGTAATTGGAGTGGAGTGGATTTACAAAGCCAAAGTGAATCCTGATGGCTCTATCTACAAGTACAAAGCCAGGCTAGTAGCCAAAGGTTTTGCTCAAGAATGTGGAGTAGATTACTTTAAAACCTTTGCTCTAGTTGCAAGACATGACAAAATTAGATTGCTGCTTGCATTGGCAGCATAGAAGAAGTGGAAAATACATAAGCTACATATAAAATCAGCCTTCCTCAATGGTGAACTGGAAGAAGATGGGTAGAGCAACCAGATGGCTTCATTTCAAGGGCAGGTCCTGATCATGTATGCAAGTTAAGGAAGGCTTTGTATGGATTGAAACAAGCCCCAAGAACTTGGTACAGCAGAATTGATAGCTACTTGTCTGAAAATAGATTTCAAAGAAGTGAAAGTGAGCACACACTTTATGTAAAATCAGATCTTCATTCAAATGTGTTGATCATCTCTTTATAAGTGGATGATTTACTGATTACTGGAAACAATCTGGAGCTGATTCATTCATTCATAACTGAACTAGAGAAGGAGTTTGAGATGACAAACTTAGGTGAAATGAAGTATTTCCTACGAATTGAGATTGATCAAAGATCTGATGGAATTTTTGTCTCACAACAAAAATATACAACTGATATTTTGAAGAGGTTTCAAATGATGGATTGCAAGCCAGTTGACACACCTATAGCAGTGAGTACGAAGTTATCAGAGGAGGATGGTGATCAGCCAGCAAATGAGAAGAACTATAGAAGTCTGGTGGGAAGTTTGTTGTACTTAACATCAACAAGACCTGATCTCATGTATGCTGCAAGTCTGCTGTCCAGATTCATGACTAATCCATCATAAGCTCATTTATCTACTACCAAAAGAGTTCTCAGATATATCAGAGGAACACTGAAGTATGGAATCTATTTTGAAGGAGGAGTTGGTTCAGATTTAGTAGAATATTCAGACAATGATTGGGCCGGTTCAATTGATGACATGAAAAGCACTTCTAGTTATCTGTTTACTCTAGGGTCTGGTGTATTCAGCTAGAACTCAAAGAAGCAAGATATTGTGGCTCAATCTACAGCAGAGGCAGAGTATGTAGCTGTAGCATCATCAACAAATCAGGCGGTTTGGCTGAGGAAACTTTTGAGTGATTTGCATCAATTTCAATTAAATCCTACTTCAATTCTAGGAAAATCAGTCAGCTATTGCCTTGGCCAAGAATTCGATTAACCATGGAAGAACAAAACATATCAGGGTCAAGTTTCATGCAATCAGACAGGCTGAAAAAGAAAGGGAAGTTCACTTGCAATATTGTTCTTCACAGGTGCAACTAGCAAATTTGTTCACTAAGCCACTTGCCAAGAATCGTTTTGAAGAGCTGATTCATCAAATTAAAGTCCTAGATAAAAGCTTTAAGGAGGAGATTGAAGGATAATGAAGCTTTTATGAATACTTAATCTCATTTTGACCATCATTCCTTCTATAATATGATGAATGGTAGTTGGTAGTTTATCATTTCATTTCAAGTCAAGTTGCATTAGTTTATAATTTATCCTTGTACTAGTTGATGGGATAGAACACTATGCAAGAAGTATGGTTTGTAATCTATATCATTGACCTCATTTTTGCTCAATCAATGATACACGGTTCCTCCAAGTTTTTCTTCTTCTTCTTTGTTCCAATAATCTTGTTTAAAAGTAGTTAGTTCTAAGTAAATTCCTTTTTTTTTTAAGCATGTTTGGATGAGTTACAGTTTTATGTACTCACAAGTAAAGTATTTACTTATTTTGGTTTTTTTTTGGTTGACGTTGGAACTCGCAACCGATACCTGTAGCGGAGCCCCGATCATCCCGAAGGGGCGGAGGCCTGACCACTATGAGTGCGCACTAGGTAAATCTC